CTAAACAATATATTCAGGAAGAATAATACATTTTTAAAGTAAACTCACTTTGAGATTTAAATCATTGGGACTTTTAGCAATAATAAACACAATGTGATGTGTAAGTCAGAGAATAAACTTTTGTATTATCTCGGAAAAACATTTTCTGGAATGATCCAGAAACACTCCAATCAGCATAAAATTATATTCAGAACTTTCAATATGTGTTCCAAATTGGACGTAAAAGTTTAACTGCATGATGTAATTTTCACTTCTTTGGTTTTCGATTACTGAAGTTTGGTATAAAGATAATTTTATATTTTTGTAAATAAATAAACAAATTTATTCAATTATCAAAGGTTGCGAATTTTTCATAAATAATGAAAACTTTTTCCGTGTGAAATTTACACTTATACTTTGAAGATATGTTATAACTTTGTGTTATAAAAAGTGTTATAACTTTTTGATTATTTAATATAGATATCTAAAGCTTTTCAGAAAACTTTTTTAAATTTTATATTTTGATGTAAAATTAGTTCAAAGGTAAGATTCAAATATTTGCAACACAAATTTAGAAAAAAATCGACATTTTCTATATATTCAAAACAAAAAGTTTAGACACATCTTATTTTTTGTGAAAATATCCGTAGTATCTTGTGTCGGATTAGAAATTGAAATATATAAACCAAGCAGAGATATCATAAGTTTAATATAAAATTTCTTTAAGATCATACCATCAAAATGTTTGCTTTTTCTTGTTTATTTACTTACATGTTAATCTTTTTGTCAAAATGTCGGTGTTATGGTGATTCACAAACTTTTGTTTAAGTTAATATTAGGGTGAAATGAGGTAACTGTGGTTTGGGGTAACTGTGGCACCCATTAAGTTTTTTTTTAATTAACAAGATATTATAAAGTTTCCAGTACATACTTGTTTAATATCTCTGGTAGTAACTAGTGACAAATTCTGGAGACATCAGCTACCAAAACAAAAATTTAGTTGGCAACTAAAACTCTGACCGTTATGTTTTGATCTAAGTTAATTGCATAATAGTTGAGTTAATTTTAAAAATTTGGTTCAGTACAAAAGCTATGCTAATTTTCAATAAATGCTTTTAAAAGTAAACTTGAGGCGCCATCTAGTATTGAGTAACCGGAGTATGAGAAGAATGGTTTGATAATTTTGTCAGTTACCCTGACATGACACAAGATCGATGCAACTGTGGACGGTGATACCGGGGAAACTGTTGTTCCAAAAGTTTCAAGGTTAGTTTGTTTATAACTTATTCTTTGGTTGCAAAAATACCAAGAAAATTTAATAAAAAGACTATTAATCGTGGTGTCGGGAGTAGGTATTCAATAGAAGCATTAGACCTGGCTATTAGAGATGTGAAATCGGAAAATCTTCACTAAAGTGGACTGGTATTAACACTATTAACTATTATTATTACAAGGTATTAACAAAATTACGTACCTACTAGATTTTACTTTTTAAAACAATAAAAATCTATTACAGGTGTGACTGGAGGTGGTAGAACCGACTTATCTAAAGAAGATGAAGACATTTTGGCTTTACGGCTAAAAACTATTAGTAAGTGGGTTGGACTATCTCGCAAACAAATACTCAACACTGTACAGTTAAATGTTCAGCAAAATAATATGCAAATGCCCGTTAGAGAGGGGAAGCCTGGTGAAGATTGGTTTCTGACTTGTTGAAAACGCAACCAACTTTCTATTAAGAAACCTGAGATAATTGAAGCATCACGTGTAAGACAACAAAGCGATTCATTTGTTGTTTACGATTTCTTTGATCAACTGGAAACTATATGAATAATTTACAACTTAACAATACCCTGCTAGGATATTGAATACAGATGAAACGGCTTTTAATTATGACCCAAGCCGTACTAAGGTTTGTAACTGGAATCGGAGCAATAGCACAAAAGCAAACTGCGGGCTCAGGACGGAAAACAACAACAGTTTTGGCATGTGATACTGCCAACGGATCAGAGACATCTTAATACGTATCCGAACATGGTTGGATGACTGAACAAGTATTTTTCCATGGTTCAAAAATGTTCTTTTGAAAAATTTCGTTAAGAGGACTGCTCTTTTGATTTACGATGGTCATTTATCGCACATTTCACTCAAATCAATTGCGGTATCCATGACAGAATATGTGACTATTCTTAAATTACTGCCACATACTTCTGCCATATTGCAGCCTTTGGATGTGTCTGTCTTCAAGGTGTTCAAGTCTTCATGGGATGCTTTAACAGACTGGCAGCGCAAAAATTTATGAAACAGCTAACAAAATGCGAATTTTCCAACTTTTGGGAAAAGCTTGACGCAGTATTCGAGAATTTGTTGTGGTAAATGGCTTTTAAAAAACAAGTATTTTTTCTCTAAATCAAGGTTTCATTAACAAAGAAAAGTTTGATCCCGAAAAGTTAAAACGATATTATGAAAAGAAAAATATTCCTGACACTATCACTGACGAGTAAAGTTCTACGGTAAGCAAACTATGATCTTATGTACAATCTCTTGCAGATCTACTACAGAACGCCAGAATTGCATTGCATTAGCTTGTCATTGCATACTGGAAGAACATTCTAACTAGCAACAGTGAAACTTTCTCGAAGCTAGATCTAAGGAAGAGGAAAAGAATAGATGTTGCTGAGGTGATCACAACTAAAACCTATTAGAACACTTACAGTTATCAAAAACTAAGACAAAATCTTCAAAGAATATATTCAAGAAACAATCAAAATTAAGTAATGACGATGAAAATGCCGAAGAAGTCGTTTATGCAGAGAGTGATGATATATGAAGCTCCAAATGACAATATGGAAGAAGGTGCGGAACTCAAATTCAAGAACCCACTGACGATAATATAATACCAGAAAAATACATCGTGGTACGAATAAACAAACGAGCAGTTACTCATTCGATTGGACTAATATTGCAAATTAATGCAGTGAAAAGAATGGTGGTAATCAAATGTTTGAAACGAGTGTGGGAAATGCTTCAAATTTCGTGAAGAAAATGAGCCTCTCTTGTTTCGCTTGTGATAAGATATTAGAAATACTGAACGACCCAAAATCAGAGGATGAAAACGTCGTTACGTTTGTGAGGATTTAAGGAGATTCAAAATATATTGCTTAGATGTTTGTTGTTTCATGGTTTTTAATAAGAATTTTCGTTTCTGCATTTTTAATGTTGCTTTTATTTAAACCACAGTTACACCTTTCATTATAATGACTACAAAGTGAAGTTTACCAAGCATACCACAGTCTCCCCGTCAGGGTCCACAGTTATCCTAAATTAACGGGTAACTGTGGACCCTTACATGTGAAAGAAGAATGTCAATACTCTTCTCTCTCACGTCATTTTGTATCTTCTATTAAAAAGAACATATAAACAGATTAATAATACATATCTACAAATAAAAAGAAAGTGGTTTGAAAGCGAACTAACTTCATTAGTAACTTCAAAATAAAACTTTTAATATTCTGTCCACAGATACCCCACTTCACCCTATTGATTTTAAATCACCTTTGATAATGCATATCTATATTTTTAATACAAGAAATATATTTTAGAAGATTCCATAGGAATGGGAATGAAATTTAAACCAATTTCTGAGATCATAGTCGATCCAAACTCAGATCTTTCAATGACACTAGAGGAGCAGCTAAGAGCAGTTCAAAAACAACTACAAGCTCTCTCCAGCTTCCGTCTGCGGTTCAATTAACATTGGACGCTGTTTCTAAACAATTAGCTGAAATTGTTAGTAGGTAAAGAGGATGAAGAAAATGAAAATGGCATTGAAGATGAAAATGATCAAG